AGGAGATACAGGCTACCGAAAAGTCCACGAAAGCGATATTGGAACTGAGAAGGAAGACAAGTTACCTATGTGCACTGCTTTCAAGGAGATTGGAGAGAGGTTTGGCGGGTTTGATCTAGCTTTGATACCCATTGGGTTAGTGGTCCGAATTCTTTAAAACTTTGGAATTTTATCTGCTACTGATGCGTTATTATCGTATGACTTTCAGAGCGTACATGCCCAGAGATACAATGTCCGGTGTTCATGCTCATCCGAAGGATAGCGTTCAAATCTTCAAGGATGTGAAAGCAAAGAAAGGTCTGGGTATGCATTGGGGGTTAGTCAATCATGTCTTCCCTTTGTTCTTCGTGACTAATTGATTGGAACGTAGGACGTGGGTATTGACATTAGAACCGGTCATGGAACCTCCCCAGTTACTGAAGGAAGAATGTGCTAGGGCTGGTATACCTGAAGAAGACTTTGATATCTGTGGACTTGGGGAGACTAGAGCATTTTGAGGCCCCCGCATGTAGGAGATGGAATATTCTACGTATCACAACTCTGAGGCTCTTTTTACGTCGGTATATTAACGTTCACACAGCGGGGGTGTATCCGTTATTCCCTACGAAAAAACTTTAGTATAAGAGCGGAGTTAGTTTGAATACGCACTCAGTTATTCGTCGGGTATAATGATAGTATCATGTGGATGAAATACGAATAAAATAATAAATGTGACGCCTATGTGACCACAATGGAACTGATGGATTCAAATAAAATGTAACGGAAATTGTGACCCAAATGATCCCGATGGTAACAAATTCAATATTACCTCAATGACACTACGATGATGCATGCTGCATCATGCGGGGGATGTTCAAAATGTTTCCAGCATGAAACCAAAGGAAACATGGGAGCTTTATTTTGATTGTGTCCCTATTGTTATGCTATGACCCATTTTGAATTTATTCAGTGGCCCAGGTGTGATGTTTGGTCACACAGTCTAGATCTCTTACTGAGGAAATCGACACATCAAAGACCTCCGACACCTCACTTCTTTCACGTGCTCAAATTCTTGCCCATTGCGGTGGTTTCAAAGTTATTAACAAATTGTTTAAACAAACTGTCAATCAACTTTCAATCATTTTTTCATTGGGTTTCAATCAACTTTCATTTGTCTCCCTTGTTTAACATTCAACATCTCAGTAGTTTCAGTTGATTGAAAGTTGATTGACAGTTTGTTTAAACAATTTGTTAATAACTTTGAAACCACCGCAATGGGCAAGAATTTGAGCACGTGAAAGAAGTGAGGTGTCGGAGGTCTTTGATGTGTCGATTTCCTCAGTAAGAGATCTAGACTGTGTGACCAAACATCACACCTGGGCCACTGAATAAATTCAAAATGGGTCATAGCATAACAATAGGGACACAATCAAAATAAAGCTCCCATGTTTCCTTTGGTTTCATGCTGGAAACATTTTGAACATCCCCCGCATGATGCAGCATGCATCATCGTAGTGTCATTGAGGTAATATTGAATTTGTTACCATCGGGATCATTTGGGTCACAATTTCCGTTACATTTTATTTGAATCCATCAGTTCCATTGTGGTCACATAGGCGTCACATTTATTATTTTATTCGTATTTCATCCACATGATACTATCATTATACCCGACGAATAACTGAGTGCGTATTCAAGCTAATTCCACTCTTATACTAAAGTTTTTTCGTAGGGAATAACGGATACACCCCCGCTGTGTCAACTTAAACTAGTACTCGCACATATAATATACTTGAATCTCCCGATCCGACTGCCTTCAATACCCGTTCTCTGTATCGCGACGCGCTCGCGCTAGCAGTACTAGTATGACACTACGCATTACATCAATACTAGCTTGATCCCGAGGCTGAAATTTTCTAATAAGAAAGTCTCTTGCATGTTTATAGAGGCCAGCCAGGAGCTTCACATGGTCAATCTCGCTGGTGAATGCACAGTGAGAAAGGGCTGTACCATTCGCAACTGGCATCCGAAAATACAGTTTTGACATCCGGTGTAAGTTCTGGTTGATGGATCAGCCACGTCTAATGTTGTATCACCGTGAACTTTCTTCGTGATTTTTCAACCATCTTCGAACAACACTGGGCATTGGACAAGCGGTAGATTCCCCTTTGTCGTTTGTGTCTTGGTACAATTTCTGACAGCACCTGTACAAATCTCGGACATAGTTTTCGCATTTGTCGGGTGTGTAGGTGTTTTTGTTAAGACAAGTTTGAAGAGAACATGCTTCCGTAGATGATGAAGGTTAGTTGGGGGAACAATGCGATATAATCTCCACGTACCCTGGGCTTGGCATGGCTGGGGATCGACAGATGAGGATGAATTCTAGTTTGGAAGAACCGCGTTATGTTTTCGATCAGTTTTACATTCGAATGCGGATGGAGAAGGAACCAGAAAGGGAGATAGTTTCAATGAAATATTATAATTCCATTGTAATCCTTTCATTCAGCTTGTTTCAACACCTCGGACTGCACATCCCTTCGGTTTGAATTTCAAGCACTCACCTTTGATTGTGGTGGCATATTCACTGAAATTGATCGTGTGCAAGACGAGTGGAATCTTTCGAACGGACTTGGAAGTAATTGTCTTGAATCCGTAAAGTCACTCAGAACTGGCGCAAGAGGAGGTGGAGGGTCAATTTCAGTGCCAAGGTGCTCAAGCTTGCTCCAGTCCACAAAGCGCGCTAATGGTATACATTTATGGTTAACGGATCAAAAATATCCTGCATCCGTGTCACCGTGTGCAAAGCCAATTCAGCGCCAAGATGTATCCTGCATCAAGACTTCTCCTTTTCCTCCTCCTCCTCCTGGATTCTACCTTCTAGTCAAGTCCGCTTCATTAAGCTGAAGTTTCCAAGGATGCAACTTGATCTGAACTTTTCGAGCTCGTAATTAACCGTCGGTGATCATTTACGCCTCTGGAAAGGAGGCGATGAAGCCGGAGCATTGGCTCTGCAAGGCGGCTAGAACTTTAGTCCAAAGATCAGTAACGTGAGTTTTAGCCTAAGTTCTCCACTAGGCGGCGATATAGACCTTGAGTACATAAAGAACACAGACTGCGGATTGTTTGTTGCTACACATTGCCACTCCTATTCACTTCTCTTTACTACCTTCCACATTCTGACTTCGTTTTTCAACCTCTTTCACCTTCGTATTTTGCTGTCTTTTGGAGTGTTGACCTCTCCTATTTTTTAGTTTGAACATATGGAAGCGGCCCCCACTACGTTAATTGTACCGGCAGCAACGAGTTCGAGCACTGTTGCTGATGTTAGTAGTACCGCGGGTTCGGTGAGTTCAAGTCATTATGTTAAAATCGACGACCATTACTTAGATTCATCTTTGTTTCTATCACGTAGGATAAGTCCTCTATGTCAGTGGGTGTAGAAGTTGCCATCATCGTTGCTTCAATAGTTGTCTCCATTGGAGTAGTCTTACTCGTCATATTCGCATTCCGTCGGTATCAACAACGGAAGGCGAAGAGAGCACCTTCATATCAATTTCGTTCGGAAAAAGCTGGTCATGGCGAGGTTGGAAATGAAGGGCTTGAGTATGTAAATGAAGGTTTTGCTCGGCCTTATTATCATCAGCCTCGTTCTCCCCCAACTCATTCTTACGAGAACAACACCTATACGTCATTGCCCAATTTCCCTCCAACTTTACCAAAGGTACATTCACCTTCACTGCTTGCTTCGTATTCATCGTCTCTCCCTTCTTCGGAAACCAAACCATTATCCTCAGAACCGTACAAAGGGTCTCCTTGCGGCGAGGAGAAGAGGGCAACCGCAGCAGGCGTCTCAAATTTCGGGTCTGGCTCTCCTCCGCTTTACTCTCCTCCACCTCCTTTCAGTTCTTCTCCATGTTCTGCGCGGATGATTCAACAGCCATGGGATGCCCAAGGTTTAGAAGCAGCATCCGTACCAAGACTAGATCCTCCACCTCGAGTTACATTTGCTTCGCAACTGTCATTAATTCCTCAGACACCGCCTGAACGTACCTCAGTCTCATCCCCCGTAGACTCGGATCATGAGAACCATGTTATTCGTGCCCCATCTCCTATCGTTACCTCTGATTCGACTGCCATGACCCATGACAACTCGTTGCATAGGCCAGCTACAGCACCTCGTCGTAAGTCTTATCGAACTGGTGGTAGTCAGGACATGCGTTCAAGTGTTTTAACTCGCAATGTACCATCAAAATTCAAGACCAATTTCGATGAAGACAGAGCAGGTTACCTGGATAGACAGGCTTCAATGAAAACAGTGAATTCTGTATATTCTCAAGAGTCCGCAGGGGAAGATACGTGGGAGGAGGTTGAAGAGTTGGAACAAGAGGAGAGAAGAAGATCACAGTTGATTGAAGCATTCCCTTTGCTTTCTGCTACCTCGACAACCCCCGTTATCCCTCCTCGGAATCCAGAAAGAGAAAGGAGAGATAGAATCCAAAAAGCTATTGAGAGCGAACCGATGTATTGGAGAGAACATGCTGAGGGAGAGGAAGACGAATCATCCGTTCCATTGGTAGCGAAGAATGGAATAGCTGTATCCCCTTTGATTTATCCTTCGAGGAAATGAACATCACCGAACTCTTTTTATTCATACGCGACACCTTATTAACCACCCGTGGACGGTTATGACTTCTCATGTGGAATGAATGGACAGATGAATCAGTGCTTAGTATTCAGCTAGTAACAGACTTTCTTGTTGATGACTTTCATTTCATTGTACTCTACTTGAACCATTGTTCTTTCTACCCTACGGACTGTTATGTGATGGACTTCATACGATCTTTCCCAACATTGACAATGTTTAACCTGTAACTATTAGTTATATAGTATTATCCTCATTCGTCCTTGAATGTGTGGTTACAATAAGTCTTCTATGCTACATACATCAACTACGTCCTAAGTGCATACTCGCATGCAGAAGGATATGTTCAAGCATAAGTGGATATTGTTAAGAAGGTAAGTCCCTGGTAGTATATCGGCTAGTACACGCGCCTGTCATTTCAACTCACATTGGCTGTTGGTCGCGCGAAAGCGGGGTTCGACTCCCCGCCAGGGAGCATGAAATGTATTTTTCAACATTTGATGTTGAACCAAGTCTGAAAGCTTGATTCTTCATGTTTTTTCAACCGTGTTGGCTTGCGTTCGTGGATATGTTTTTATTCCAAAACTGGTAATTTTGATGGGGCCTTTGGTAAACATGTGCAAATAATGCAGTAAATATTGAGCACTACTGTTACTACTGTATGCTCAACTTAAATCAACTCCTCCTCCGTGTCACTTCCCACGACAACGTTAACCTTATAATGGAGGCCACTCTCCCGAAATCACAGGTGAGAAGGCTAATGTTCAAACCTTACTCGATGCTAAGTCTCACTATGGCAGGAACGAGAGCATGCTTTGGCGTCGAGGAAACTCAGCATATGGGAGCAGGCTACCCAAAGGCTGTCAGACCAGGAGAAAGTCGTTCAAGATCTCAAAAATCAAATCAACTCCATTATTCCGATCTCGCGGTTGTGCCCTGAGATTCTTTCAAACATCATGCTACTTGTTGTGCGTGATCAACAGACGCATCATTTCCGAGAATTCGACGAAACCCAAGATCCACGCTGTAACTCATGGATTCGCATCGCACATGTCTGTCACTATTGGAGACAAGTTGCATTGAACACGGCCGCAATATGGTCATATATTTTTTTTAATCAACCCAGACTGCACCAGGACGATGCTCGCTCGCTCGGGTTCGACGACTCCCCTTTATATCAAACTTACCAAGTATCGAGCCCATAGGGAGAACTTATGGAATATCCCTTTTTCAACGCATCATCGAGATCTAGTAGATCTTATAGCACTGGAGATGCACCGCATTGTAGAACTCGACCTTGCGATGGAACTTGGCCGCTATTCCGTTCCACGTTCCTTCTATGATAATCACAAGTTTTTTGCACCCCGATTACGCAGGATCGCTTGGATAAACACCTCGGATTCTGCAGAAGATTATTCAGCTGTACTACAACCATTCAAAATTCTCACCGAAGACGATGTTTCGAATGGGCTTCCGCTACTCGAACATCTCTACTTGGAAACCTTCCGGTCACTACCTTTGTGTCATTCATAGATCAGTCTGCGATACAACACCTGGATATTCGTGTCGGGCAAACACAACATCGGGTAAAAGTGGCGGGAATGTTGGAAATCTTCAAGTGTCTTCCACGGTTGAGGGTTGCGGAGTTTACCGATGTTGTCACGCCATTCTCTCCTTCGCATTATGAAGGATGGACATCATTTCCGACCAGATCGGAAAGTCTGGTTGCACCGAGCCAGTTGCAGAAACTTTCTTTCAAGGCATCCGGTGATGTTGTCAGCATTTTCTACATCCTACATCACCTGTCTCTTCCACAAAGTGCCTCCGTTGAACTCACATGGATTGATGAAGTTCCTCCTCTTTACATGGAAATACTAATCCTTCCGACCCTCCTCAAAATGCTATCGACATCTGCTTCCCCTCCTTGTCCTGTTTCGGAAATTTGGGTCGATACATTCGAGGAATTCATAGACTTTGGTCATGATATCAATGACGCTGATTATGCTGCTCTCACATTCTTTTCGTTGACGAGGAATCCGGCTGGCGTCATGTCAGAGCGTGAGGGTGTTACGACTCTCGGGACTTCCCCAAAGGTCTCTCGATACGAAATTCTCTGTCCTATTGGATCTTACACAGATGGGGTTGAAAGCGTTGTCAATTACTTCGATTCCTTTCGGACCGTTATCGCAGAAACCACGACGTACCTAGGTTGGAAAGAATACAAGTTGTCATCTGACCAGTGTTTCGATGCTTGGTTTGGTTATCGAGCGGTTGAAACGATGGACGTTGGGTACAATCACGCGAGTGTCTGGGTGCCGCGAATATTGGCACACGCTCTCCCCGAGGTTTGGGTGACAGACCACTTATTGCAGAAGAAAGAGAACGTATCGAGAAGAAGGTGTTTTTCCCGAAGCTCAAAAGACTGGAATTCGTGGACACATGTTTCATCACGGTTGGATGTGATTGTTATGCGCCTCATCTCTCTGCTGATGAATTCATTCATGGATTGGAATTACGGAAAATGTGGGGATTGGGATTAGAGTCGGTAAAGCTGAGCGATGATTGTCATATGGCTCCAGAGGCACTCAACAAACTCAAAACTGTCGTGGAAAAAGTAGTAGGAAGATGATTTTATGTTTACATTGTCATCTCGCAGTAATTCTTATACCTCAGCCTGATGCCTCTCACCAATGTTTCTTGTACAGTGCACAGGTATAATACTGACTAATTTCCCTCACAGTCAATGCTCCTCACTTTGCCGCAATAGTTGCCATAAATACCGGTCAATTACTAGCAAGTTGGCATGCCATTACCAAGATACCTACGGCCAAGTCGACTTTCATCTACAATTGAAACAATTGACTTATCATATCGTTCTTTTAGTACATCACATTCTGTGATAATCAAAGAACAACCTACTGATATCTTTGAAACGTGTACACCACGCGGCACCTTGCACTTAGTGTTGAGGCTATCATCTTTCCCGCCTCATTGGATCCCACTAGGTTGCTCGTCAACGTCAAGATGTCTTCACACAAAACAAGACAATTTAGACCCCGCCCAACCGACTCAAGCGGACGAACAATTATATATACCGACCCGAATTCCTTCCATCCACCGATAGAAAATATGGCCCGCTTTATCATCACAACACAACCAGGAATCCAGATAGATGCGACACCAGAACAGAATCCTGATGGCTGGACGGAATGTATGGTTACTCCGTCAATCAAACGAGAAATTATGGCTACTCCGAACTTCCCGCAGCCGCTTCAACGTCCTTCAAAGACCAAATACGAAATTCGAAGCGTGGAGGGAAGAGGTCTAGCTATGTTTGCGACTGACCACATCGATGTCGGCGAACTGATACTATGTGAACGTCCCTTGCTTATGGCCCAAGCGATGGCGCGTGGCCAAGATGTCCCAGTCGCCGTCACTGATGAATTGGACCCGGAAGCTGAGAACGACCCGGAGCTTGTCAGACAGATAGTATGTCTCCCGGGCCTCATTTAGCTCTCTTCAACTGGCATATGTCATGATTCTGATTTATTCGATTCAACAGATTTTTCAGGAGAAGGAAAGACAACTCGAAACATTGGTGGGCAATATGCACCCAAAGTTTCGTGAACAATTCATGGCTCTGGCCAATTCTCATGAGCATGATGGCAGTGGACCTTTATTTGGACGTCTGCGTACCAATGGATTCGGGGCCCCAGGATTTTTCGACCTCGAAGGTGAAGATCACCCTTACTCTATGGTTGGGAATAACATATCCAGAATTAATCATAGGTGAGTGCCTCTTAAACCAAAAAGACGGCGGTCGTCCTTGACAGGATAGGATTTCAATCTGTCTACCAGTTGTTGTGCAAACACCAAGTTCACTTTTTATCGACCTTCATTTGGAATGGAACTCCGGGCCACTCGTTTAATCCCACAAGGGGCAGAGATAACAATACCTTATTGTGATATTTTGAAACCTTACCTCGATCGTCAGAAAGCTTTGAAGCCATACGGCTTCTCATGCGATTGTCCTGCTTGCAGCGACCTATTTTCATCAGATCAGATTCGGGCTGTCTCTGTTAACTCGATAGGTTTGGAAAACGACAGGGCAACCGTGGAAGAAGTCTTAGGGTGGATGAAAAGGTTTGAAGATTTTGGATTGGAGAGGTCCCGGCAATACATAGAATGTTTGCGATTTCTGCGCGACAAGTATAAAGACCAGGGAAATTTGGCAGAAGTGAAGATTTATAGGAACAAGTTGTACAAGATCGTATTGGCGACCATGGGGAAAGAAAGGGTCATGGCGGTGATGGCCTCTCTATGAAATAATAGTATACGTTAGTACTCTCGGTATCAAAGTCGAAAGTCAACATCTTTATATTCTCCTTTTTCCAGAATCATGCAGAGGCGTGCAGAGTTCAAGTTCCAAATGTCAGCACCTAGTACTCATTTAGATTGAGTATATATGTGCAACTTTTTCATTTTCCTGCCAGTTCGATGAAATAATTCAGAGCCATGAAAACTAGAATACGATATCTTCAAATACTCACCAACATCATTACTATGGAATCCTCTCCGAGGAGCAAAGATATATCATCTACTTCGACTCCGGGGTCCAGTGCAATTGGGATATCCACTTCATACTTGCAGTATGGTAATGCGGTAGTAAGATACTCTCCGCAAGTCATTTCAACCTCCATGTTGGCCTCGTTGCCCATCTTTAGTTCGCGACTTTCAGTGACAACTGTAACACCAGACCCGGTATTTGTTCCTGTTTCCGCCACACTTTTGAGGGCAGCGTCGCTGAAATCAATGATGCTGAAAACGAAATCCTTTTTATTCGTTTCTTCTTCTCCTGCTCTTCCGTCTGAACCGTCCTCCCCCGCCTCCTCTTCTTCCTCGTCATCTGACCACCAACCATTCTCATCTGCAGTTCCTCTTTTATGCACAAAAATGAACCTTGGTCCACAGAGAGACGATATCACGTTCCGAATCTTGAAAATTCGAGTGCGTTCAGGACCCCATTCCGTCCATTCCAGTGTCCTATTCTGCATTCCAGTCATCGATTTGAACAGCGACACCAGAGTGCGAGCTTTCACAAATCCAGTGAAATAAGCAGAATCTCCTCCAGATTCAAAATCATAACCAAACTCGAATGCAAGAATATGTTCATCGTCGGAGTAGTGAAAAGGAGGAGGTTTGAAAGTGTTGGAAGTGTATGAAGTCGAAGTTGGGACGTTTGGCGAGACACTGATTTCCGCGTTGCGAATACCTTCTGAATCTACCGGTGCAGGAAGTTTCAAGCAGATTGTGCTTTCCGACCGTGACCCCTTTAAAAGAAGGTTGATGTCAACAACAAGAATTGCAACGGAAATAGGTTTCATAGGGTCTTCATCCTTATCCTCTCCCTCCTCAACTTCATGGAACTTCTTTATGACGGTAAAAAGAGCTATATGTTGATCATCGAGTCTTCTG